TTTTTATTTAATTACAATATTTTTATTTAATAAAAAATAATGCAATCTATTAAATAGATACAAACATAATAGGGAATTGAAATAACAATAAAAGTAACAGTTTAATTCGATTCTTTACTTCGTTACTTCGATACGTAAAAAAGTAATGAGATTATCATTATTGACAGAAAAGAGTAACAACCGTTACCGAAAAGAAGCAATAATAACAACAACGTTACAAATAATGTGTTGCTTCTTAATTTTACCCTAACTACAGTATCATGAGATAATTACCTAATCTAGAAAAAAAAACTACTTATATCTAAAAAAAAAAGCTATTTTATTGATTAGTTCGATGAGATAATGTATTAATATTGTATCGACATATATGCTATACATGCGTTTTAATATATGATATTAATATTATACCACGTCCGTTTAAATCATTAAGCTATATTTTTTCTATTTATGATAAATCAAATTCTTATCTGATATATACAGAAGCAAATATTCTGTTGCTCTATATTTTGATTTATTTTATTTTTATCAAAAGTAAATATATAAAAATGGTTTTATTGAGTTTATTATTGCTAACCCTTAATTTAGCACTATTTGCCTACTAAATCTATTGAATTTATTTTTACGAGAATCTGCCCCGAGAATAAATAAGGAAAATCCATAGATGGTAGCACATTATTTGCATATCTTCCTAAAGGATTGTCTTTAATTGATAAAGATTGTCTTTAATTGATAATTGAACAATCCTTTAGGAAGATATGCAAATAATGTGCTACCATCTATGGATTGCTAATTGTAATGTGTGATATGACTGACGCATATATATAGTTAGTTGAAGTTTTATTTAAATGAAGAACAATTCGATAATTTAAGAAGAAGAACTTCATTACCTGCTGTAAACTAAAACTATCTAAACTAAACACAAGACACATCAATTTTATTACAAACAATGAAAAAACTATAATAATGTTCATTTTTTATATAGATAAAGTGAAGAAACATTGAAAAAAATATGTATATACATATGTATATGTTATTGTATATATATTCACTAATATTTGCACAATGTTTCATAACATTCTAAAAACTGTAATTGTACTATTGTACTATTGTAATGAAAATCTTCCGTATTAAATTATTACATTATTTTAGTTTTTCGTTTAACTATTCGCGTTCTAGCATGTGTACGGTGATCATACGTCTTTTATTGTAAAGAACAGTCCTTTATTTTAGATAGCTGTCCTTTAGATTTATCTGTTTCTTCAAAAAACTAAATTTTGTCCTTTAACTGTTTTTTATTTTGACATTACGGGAAATTCTTTTTTAACTGTGAGAAAATTCAACTTAAAGTTGAAATACTTAAAGCTTGCATTTACACAAAATGCAATTTTAAAACAAATTGTTTAGTATTTTATGATTTTTTTAAAATAATGATGTAATTTAAAAAAAAATACATTTGTCAAAAAGTATTATTAAAAGCCTTCTTTAATTTTTGTTAAAAAATATATAAAATTATATAATACATAAATATAATATAATAAAAATATATGAACATTATGTTACAAAATATACACTGAGAGAAATGTTTTGTACCAATAACCAAAATTTTGTTACTGACACAAAAACTATTTGTTGATATATGATCAATCAAATCGTTGGTTTTATTATACGACAATATTAATTTATTGAATTTATTTAATGAACTAATAATTTAATGATACAAAACTGTTTTGTATGTTTATAGATCTTTTGTAATTAGAAATAGAACATTTTGTTACCGGAACAAAACGGTTACATAAGAATAATATATATCTTTCATTTTCTACAGACTGAAATTATGTTTGACGTTTTTGAATTTCCTTAGCAAAGGTACATATAGATTTAGATCAATTGGGATTACTAATCACTCTGAAAATAGTTGTTACCATGATTGATCATGGTGTGGCGAGAAGTCCACGAGAGTAGTCTCTAATCGTCCCAGCTTCATACAGATAGACGTTGAATTTCTTTTACGAGAAGACACATCATCTTTGACAGCTCCGCGAAACGTTCCTCACTCTACCATACTGGATTATTTTGTTGAAATTATTAAAAGAATATTCATTTTGTAATGGCAATTAAATTTCACATTGTTATTTACAAAACGTAAGTACTAAACCAAATAAATTTGTACTGTTAAATAAAAAAATTTTGTTCATCTAATAAAAAAATATTGTATTTTGTAATTTTAACAAAATAATCCAATGATAATCGGCCACTTGTGAATAATTCTCTTTTTTTGTTATCAATACCATATCTTTTTTCTCAGTGTATAATATATAAATACATATAAATACAATTTATTTTTGTTAATTATATTTCGTAACTTTTTTAAATTAAATTAAATTTTAAATTAAATTATTCAAACTAGATTTGTTTTCATTTTTTATTATTTCAGATCAAGGGTTTGTTCTAATGTCGTTCTAACGGAAAAACAGTCAAACCTTTCAAATTATACAGTGCAATAAGAAAATCTGCGACGAGCAGGGCTAGTATTTCTTAATAAATTCAAGGTCACTGAATCCAAATCCAGGAAAAGATATCCATCACGTTAGGTTTTTTAGATAAATCGTGTAATATGAGGAAAAAATAATATTTTTTACCATATTCACCATTTTTAGGGGATCCCGTGCCGAAACGAAATGTCGGCAAAAGTGATGTAGACAAACGATACTGTAGGCAATCGATTTGTAGGCAAAAGGAGCTATCTTATTCAAAACGATAACGATTCAGTAAATTGTCACTATCTATTGCGATGTGAATCAAATGCAAAAATTAAAAGGTCAATGAAATTTATCTCATTAGACCTTTTTACGATCTGTTTCAGGACCTAAAAAGAGGAAGAGCCGTGTCAGCAAAGATCAACCATTCACATGTTACAAATGCGGCAAACGTTATCAATGGACGGATTCTTTGTCGAGACATCTACGCGAAGTATGCGGCGTATCGCCAAAATATAGTTGCTCGATTTGTTATACAAAATTTCGGCGCAAGCATTATCTGCTACGCCACCAGAGGAACTTTCATAAATAGAAAAAATCATTCCTTTATGAATGGAATTCGTCATTGAAAATAATCAAACACACTGAAAGAAAAGATTAACTGCTGCAGCAAATTAAATGGTAAAATATGCATAACATTTTTAATTGGCTGTAGCAGCCAATTTTCAGTTGCGTTAACCAATCAAAATCCTATACTGACATTGCGGATAGGCTAACACAACCAAAAATTGGCTGCAGCAACTAAAAATTTGCTGCAGCAGCCAATCTTTTCTTTCAATGAAGAAAATTATTTCATATTGTACTCGTTTTCAGAATTTACGTATCGCATTATTCGCGTTTCGAAAGAATATTTCTAACCATAAGTGATCATCTTTCATCGGATAATATTTATTTCAATATATAAACTAGTAAACATCAAAATGAAAAATTGATACATATTATAATTTAATTTATCAACAATAATTATACGTACTAATTTTTTGTAAAAAATACTATTCTTAATAATAATATGTTTTAAAAAGATGATTATAAATATTACGTAGAAAATGCAAATTTTGATAAAATAAATTTATTGCATTAGTTACTTTTATTGATCCTTGTGTGTAAGAAAATACGATATAGCGTCTATTTTAGAATTTATCATAGTTAAACTAAATAATATTAGTTCATATCTTAAAAATCTTTTTCACAATAATTTTATCTTATTAAATATACACTTTTTTGACAGCGTTAACAATTTCATGAAAACTTATCCTAATTAGAAACTATAAAAACTTTATTTAATGATTGTCTATATGTACAGACGATATACATACAAATATTATATACAAATATGTATGTACATGCTCATTCACATATTCTTTTAAATAAATAATATATATCCTATTATAAAAATTTCATATCACATATGTATATCGAATTTATTACCATTTTTTCGCGATGTTGATAGTCTTCTTTTTTCACTGTTCACTTCGTACTGCGATTAAAAATCGAGATTTCGTGATTCATCTGTATACCGTACTTGTGTACTCGTACATTTGTTCTTTACTATATAAGCATAGGCATTGACTTTGGGGAAGCATAGCAGTTTTTGCACCCCCTCCCCCAATAATTTTATTTGAGGGATAATGTCCCCCAATAATTTTTATCTTTTCGTTTTTTAATAACCATAAATAATTCCACGATCACAAAACGTCGTGAAAAAGCATCGGCGAATTCAGCGATATGCTACGTAACATTGGCGCGGCGAACTTTTCATTCTTGCACTAAAAATTCATTTTAATGTAAAAATGAAAATAAGAGAAATAATCTCTAATGACCTTGATCTTACAAATATTATCTAGGGCATGATGCTGAACAACATTCAAGAGATTTCAGTCGTCGGACAACTTGGATAATACTAATAATGGCGGTACTGTAACTTTCAAGTCTTATAACCCGAAAAGTACTTAATGAGAATGAATTTTATTGTAGCGTTTTGAAAAGCTTTTGACATCGGCTATTAGATTCTGAAATAAAAAATAGGGTGTCCAATTTAAAAAAATCGATGTGACCTTGACTTGACATTGGCGACACCAAAGATCAAACTGATAAGATCATTAAATAGATCTTTTTAAACTCTACAATTTTTATCTAAAACATTTTTCTCAAAAATGCATACTTTCCGAGATATTCAACCAGCCCGGAACTTTTGGCGAGCACTGTATGATATCAAGAGATAAGAAGCTCGCGTATAGTGCGCATTTGTGTATTATTATATTATGTATATTAAAAAGAAGAATACGACAAAAGATAAGATTTGATGTTTTTCTGTTAATTAACTTTTGCGAATTATCTGTTCCATTCAAATGATCGATGTGAGTAAAGTGCAAAAGTTAGAAGAGGTCGCGACGAAATTTATCTTACTAGACCTTTTTATGAACTGTTTCAGGACCCAAAAAGAGAAGAAATCGTGCCAGAAAGGATCAGTCATTCACTTGTTACAAGTGCGGTAAACAGTGGACGGACTCCTTGTCAAGACATCTACGTGAAGAATGTGGCGTGTTGCGAACGAAATTTCGGCGCATTATGTACTACGCCAGAGAAACAGGATCGGTAAAGACTAATGTCTTTTTTTTAAGAATAAAACATATTTGTATTTCTTCTTAAATATGTTCTTCAAAATGCTTCAAATATGCTTTAAACAGTACTATAAAAAAAAACATTTAAAACATATTAAAAACATCAATTAAGCATGTTTTAAACTGTTTAAAACATATTTTTTACCAACCCTGATATGCAGCAAAAAAATTGTATATTTGTGTTGGAAACGGTCCACTCACATTCTTGTCAACAGTTTGTATTGAATTTTTCAACATATTCTAATGTTAATTTAACATGTGATTATGTTATTTAAAGATTTTCTATTAAATTGATATTCGACGTTTCTTGCCAAAATGACAATTTATGAGTAAGTGAACAAATAATGTAAAAATAAAGTATTTTAAAACGTAAATTCTAAGATGAAGAATAAAATGTGGTTAATTTAATATATGATAAATGTTAATTTAAAAAAATATGCTTCCACAATTTGTTTACAAACTGTGTTGATATTATATTTGTGTAACTTTCTAACATATTTATCTTGTTAAATTAACTAAAAAATTTACCGTTTGGGACATGCGATTTATGTTAAATTCAACACATTTTTTCCAACAGTGTAAATATTAGGAAAATTCGTTTTTTTACGATTGAAGTCCGTCATTGAAAATAAATGAGCCTATAATATCTCGAAGAATGCGATAATTATTGTGATCTGAACGATGTAAATTGTTCACCACTAATATTATTTGACTGTAATGTTGGAAAACTGTGTCGAATTTATCATAAATCGTATGTTTCAAACGTATCCAATCAAATTTTTGGATTAATTTAATACAAGATGAATATGTTAGAAGGTTACATAAATATTATGTAAAAGAATAAATACACCGAAAGAAAAGATTGGCTGCTGCAGCAAATGAGATGGTAAAATATGGCATAGTATTTTTAATTGGCCGCAACAGCCAATTTATGGTTGCTGCAGCCAATTTTTGATTTTAGCCTATCCGCAATGTCAGTATAGGATTTCGATTGGCTAACGCAACCAAAAATTGGCTGTTGTGGTCAATTAAAAAGATAAATAAATAAAATGTGAATTAATTTAACACATCATAAATGTTAATTTTACTGAAAAATATGTTTCTATGGTTTATTGATAAACTGTATCAATTTATCTTTTCTGTACACTGAAAGAAAAGATTGTGGCTGCTGCC